CACTATAGTCCCCAGGTTTGCTGTCTTTGTAGATTCATCTCCCTTCTCCACGAGCCACGAACCCAGGTGAAAGTACAGACTGCCCCTTTCCTTCTTCGTATTGTGTTCTAATTCCTCCACAGGCTTTAATTTTCTTCTCAGATCCTTCTTGGTTCTCAGGGATCTACTAATCTCTCTCTCACTGTGAGAAGGTAACACTGGGAACCCTGAAGTGAGGCCATCCATCCCATGGCTGCTCTGAGTCCGGGATTCAAACAATCGACCTTTCCCTGGAATGGCATTCAACCAACCACTGTCTCCTGGGATATGGTGGGCACTTGGACTGGACTCACTCACCAGCTGCTGCCTGCTTCAGGACTCGTGTGGGAGCAAAATCTTGTGCTCTCCCTGCAGATCAGTGACTGTGTGAGAGTCAGCAGGGAGACAGCTATGGTTCAGAAGCAGGGGCGAGCCCTGAGAGATTTGGGCTAAAGGACACAGACCATGCCCACACAGCCCAAGGCCAGGCTGAGCCTGAGCTGCTCTCGATCTGAAAGTAGCAGCACTGGAGCCCTGGCCCTAATCCAACTGCCTGCTGGTACCTACGTCTAGCACAGACCTGGTCCCTTCCTCATCTAGAGGTGTGAGCAGGGTCCCATCTTGACTTGGACGCTGCCCCAAAAGTAGAGACCGCACATAAGAAAACCGCACATTCAAAATCACAGAGAAATGTCTTTCATTCTTTTTCTTTGGGGGAGGGGGTGATTGGGTGCACTGTTCTTTTGTTTTGTTTTTCTTTTTTTTCTTTTCTTCTTTTCTTTCCTCCTTTCTTCTTAGCTAGTTTATTGAGGCCTGGGGGATTTTCTTTTGTCTTTCTTCCTTGCTTCTTATCTCCTTTTCTTCTTTTTTTCTTTTCTTTCTTTATTCCTCTTTTAACTTTTAAATTTTTTTCCCTTTTAATTTTTTCTCTATATATGCTTTCTTTTTTCTTCCTCTTTCACTTTAATCATCTATTTCTCATCACTTTTTTCTGTTACTTTTACCTAATTCTATAAACATCCTACTCCCCGGTAGGATCCTTTGTACAACTTCATTTTCCTCCTTCTCATATATCATATAATTTAGGGTTTCAAATTTTTCCGCTTGAGTTTTCTAGGAATGTACTCTAGTATTAGTAAGGTCACAGAGGTAATCTGAATCATCTAACTTCTTCTTAAGAGCAGAACTCAAAACACTATGAGAAGGAAAAAGAAAAAGGCAACTTCCTCAGTTGGCTTACTTCAATGTAAGGAAATAATAATGAAAGGATCAGACCACTTTTGCATCACAGCCACTGCTAGATTCTAGATCTGCAATGTCTCCCAAGGCCTAAGGAGGGAAGGCTGGGTCCCTGGGGTGATGTCAGTGGGACATGGTGAACTTTGGGTAGGTGGAGCCTAGCGGAAAGTAGATTCTAAAGGGATTGTGGGTCCATCTCTGGTTTGTGAGGTGAGCATTTTGGCTCTATCACATGCTTCCACCACAATGTGCTGCCCTGGCAGAGGCCTAAAAACATTGACTGTGCTGCATCACAGACTAGAACCTCTAAAACGATGAACCCAAATACATCTTTTCTCCTTGTAAGTTAATTATCCCCAAGTATTTTGTTACAGTGATGGAAAGTTAACACAGGCACAAAGCCTTCCTATAGCACTAACAAAGTCACTTCTTACCATCATTAGTATTAAGAGATTAAAACACAGCACTGATACGGTGTCATAGTTACTTTTCTGGTTGGTGAGACAAAATGCCCAACACTGAAAGTTAAAGGAAGAAAGGTTTATTTGGCTCACAGTGTGTACAGGTTTCAGTCCATAGTTGGTTGGCTTCAACACAAGGTGGCATGGCAGAGGGGCATCACAGAGGAGAAGCAGTTCATGGCAGGCAGAAGGCAGCAAAAGCAACAAGCAGCAAAAATAGCAGCCCTCTTTCTGTCCCTTATATTCTATCCTTTAGGGTGGGTAAAGGACATCCAGGGTGAGGCACCCTTAATCCTAGCATCACAGGTGAATCAATCCCAGGATCACATCCTTAATCCCAGCATCACACACCCTGGATCCAGCCACCTCCAAAAAGCTATGACCATATGAGCCTTTGGGGGACATCTAGATACAAGCATAACATATGGGAAGCAAATTATTTTGCAACAGTGACAAAAAACTGTTTCTGCTAGCAATATCTCCCTCATTCCAAAATAGATCTCACAGTCTTAGATTTGGTCATCTGATATATTAGAAGTTTGGTAATGGTCCCTTTCACTGTGAAACTGGTAGCCATGAAAGTCGTTTTTCATTCAACACGTATTTCCTGGCTCTACAGATGGCCTATAAAGCAGAGAACACAATCCATAACTCCTGGTCACATATCAAGTGGAAGAATACACACACATACAATAATTTAAAGGAACTTAAACCACAAGCCGTAATTCTTTTGTCTCACTGCCAGGCGGCTCTGATTTGAATTCAATTGTTCTGCTGGCTTGAACCACCAGGAGTACATGTGTGACTGTCTCATAGGGTGGGCTTATACATCTTCTCAGAGGGTCTTTGATTACAATGATGCAAAGAAAGGCACTGACTTAGCAGACCAGATGTCATCATATTACAGCTCCTTATGGAAAACATTAAAATGGTATCAAATAATTGTAATACAGCCATGGGCCTGCCTGGCAAGCGTGAGGCCCTGAGTTTGATTCCCACTACCAAAAAAAAGCAATAAGGGGGCCGGGGATCTAGCTCAGTGGTTTCACCGCCTGCTGCGCAAGCGCAAGGACTCAAGTTCAATCCCTGGCAGCAAAATAAAGCAATGAGGTACTTGTAAGATTTCCATGTTAAAATTTGATAAACTGTTCACAAATATAAATAAATTTATTTTATTTACCGAAATAAATTTATTATTATAATTTTTAATTGGTATGAATAGTATTAATGAGCATTTATTTATATTTGGGGAGTAATTATTCAAATTCAAGCAACTAACTAGATTAGGTCCATTTATACACTGTTTATTAATTTTATTAGTAAAAATAGCCATAAAAGTGATCATAGCCATTTGTACCACCGGTGGTTCAAGCCAGCAGGAACATATTCAACAAAGTGTGAGGCCTTCGAAGCAAGAATATTTACCTCCAAAAGGCAGTATAAACCTGTGGCTGGCTTTATTGAACCATATATATAAATCAGATGTTATCCTAAGTAGATCTTAATGCTACTCTTAAATTCTTTATGTCAAACATTTCAGAAAAAGCTCATTAATTTTAAAGAGATGGAATTTGAAATGATTTCCAGAAATAAACTTGTCTTTAACCTTTAACAAAATTAATATTTCAAACTAGATTATAAGAACATAGAAAGTACAGGAGAACCACAGATGTTTGAAAATTACCATTTAATTTAAACGTAACTCATAGACTACTGAATTATAAAATATTTATTATAGTCTTAAGAACCTCGTAGGGTTAATTCAGTACAAGCTACTTTGTGTACCCAGCAGTGACAAAGCTTCATTTATTTTTGAAAAGTCAGTTTATACTGCCCTCTCCCCTACTAAGTATCAATTCCAAAATATTCCTATGCATTTTCTCCTTTTGCCACAGGGCCAAGTTTATACTGGTAATTGCTGAAAACAGTACTTCTTCGTGTAGAAAATATAGGTTATAATTTTTGTAAAACTTTAGAAAACTCTACATGTGATATTTTAAATTTTTAGAATTAGGGCCAAGGATTTAGCTCAGTGGCACCGCGCCTGCCTCACAAGTGCAAGGTCCTGAGTTCGATCCCTCGTACAGGGGAAAAAAAAAGGTTTTTTAAAAATAAAAATTAAAAATTTTTAGAATTAAAAACTATTTTAACTTAGAAAAGTTTCCTGCTTATGTGGTATCTAATTAAACTGCTTTAATAAGCAAAATATCATATTCCAATTCATGTTTCATAACCAAACAATGCTCAGTTTGAAAAGTAAAAATCTAAGCAAACTTAACAGTATAACCCACATGTATACAGGTCTGCCATATGTGTTTCATGAATTTAATAAATGGAAAGTTAATGTATGGGATGACACCCTAAGCCTATTAAAATATAATAATCTACTTTTTTTAAACCTTACGAAGTTTTTTTTTTTTATTCACCAGAGACTGTGGGGAGAATAGGAGAAAAAAGAGGGAGGTCAGTTCAGTGTTACAGGTAGGAGAAGCAAGTAGTTCTGGTGTTCTACTACACAACAGGGTGACGACTATCGTTAACTATAATGCATAGCAGACCTCAATGATAGAAGTTTAAGGTGATAGATAGGCTAACTACCCTGTTTTGATCATTACAGAATGAAGGCATGAAACGAGACGTCATACTTGTTAAATATATCATTATATATAATTGTAATAAATATTACTTGATCGGCACATGATTATATTCATGCATATACATGTATATTATGTAATATTATATTTACATGTATGTATAATCATTATGTGTCGATCAAGTAATAATAAAGACCAAAAAAATCTTCAAAGGAAAACATACTCAAAGTGAAACTTGTAAGCAAAGTTTGGAAAAAAAGACTACAGACAGACAAATACTTAAGAGATATTAAACCTAAAAGTAAAAAGATAACGTAAGTCTAGGGCCAGATCTGAAATCGGTCTCAGCTCTACCCTTGTTAACTGTAAGAGTTAGGTGAAAGTTATTTGATAGCCCTGAGCCTCCGTTTTCCTGTGTAATAAATAGGGGGCAAAAAGTAGTTGATAAAAGTAAATGAGACTACATCTGTGTGCATATAGTAAGCACCAAGTAAATCCAGGTTTCTTTTTACCTTAATTTTTCCCCCTTTACTCACTTAGAAAATTAAATTATTTCACTCAACCCAAATGACCAGATTCTAGCAATGTAAAATCTTCTTTCACGTAACTATGCAATCAGGATATCCAAATATAGGCGGAAATGAGACTTTCTCCCATGCCTCCCCCACGCGGCCGCAGCTGTACACACCACTCTCCACACTGCACGGCCTTCAGCACCCCCACGGCAGCGGTGGTCTGCCGCTCAAAGCCTTGGCCAATGTGATCGGCGTGGGCTCGTGTCCTGTCTTCAAAGAGCATCTCACGAGGCTCACTGGTTCGAGGTAGGTACTGGAGGTTTTTTATTTCATTGGTAGTTCTGTTTTTTAAAAAGAGTAACATTTATATTCTGAGGCTCATTTCAAACATTCAATAATCACATAATTCAGACAAAAGGAAACTGTAAATTAGCAGCTCTCAAATCAAGTTTGTTTTTTTGGTTTTGGTACCAGGGATCGAACTCAGGTCCTTGTGCTTTCGAGGCAGGCAGTGGAACCACTGAGCTAAATCCCCAGCACCTCAAGTTGTATTTTTAAAATGAACAAGAATTCCCCTAAGTGGCAGCTGTAAGGAAAACCTACTTGGATAAGATCTGTGGTTTACCCCGGCCTCCCTCCAGAGCAGTCCCCTCTTGACTGCATTTTCACCTTCTGCCATCTGTTACCTGTGTTCAACTGTGGCTAGAAATTATTAAGCAGGAAATTCTAGAAATAAACTATTCCTAAGTTTTCAATTGCTTATCGTCTGAGTAGCATTATGCAATCTGGTAGCATCTCCCTCAGCTTTGGTCATCTCTCAGTCCAGGAAACCCAGCCTCCCCCATCAGTCACTCTGCAGCCTTCGTTATCAAATGCAGCACTGTCCTGGCATCAGAGTGCTTCTGCTCAAGTCACCCCTATCTTACTCAACCATGGCCCTAAAGGCAAAGTACAGATGCTGAAAATTCAGGTCTGCACAGAAAAGCCATGAAGTGCTTCCTTTAAATGAAAAGGTGAAGTGAAGTAAGATATGTTGAAAGACATATCACATTCCTATCTTTTGTTACAGCGCATTGTTATCATGATCATATTATTATTAGTTATTGTTATTTATCTCTGGCTGAGCCTAATTACGAATTAAGCTCCATCCCAGGTGCATGTGTACGGGGTTCAGTACCTCAATCAGTCCCAGGGACCCCCTGGATGAGGGCTGGTCCTATCCCCAGGGGAAGGAGGTCGATGGCACCCCGAGTCTTCGCCTGGGGCTTGGGTCTGATCTGCGTGGGACCCTGCCCCACTCAGGTTATTTGGCTTACGAACACAAAGGTAACTTAGCAGTGCAGTAACTCAGTATTTACAGGACACACACTGTATGCCAGGGTCTATCTAGGCACAAGGTTCACACATGAAACATTAGTGACAAGTGAACTCCTTGCCCTTGTGGGAGTTCATATTCTAATCACAGAAGTGCAGTAAAAATGAAAAATTAGCAAGAAAAAAACAGGTAGGAAGTGCTTTCAGGACATGAACAGTGCACAGAGGGGCGAAGGGAAGTCCTGACTCCGGCATAGCCACAGCACCTCCCAGCCCGCCCTCCACCACTCAGCTCCTAGGGTCCTCAGCCACAGACTCTGCTGCCCACTCGACCTCCCTCTGCTTCTGCTGCAAAGCAGGAGAGGGGGGAGGACAACTCTTCCGGCCAGAAGTCATTATTCATCTTCATCTATGATTTTCATGTCGCTTTCCCTTACTTAGTGCTTGTGCAACACTGCACTGCAGTCCCCCCCCCCACACACACACACACAGAACTACAATTCACCTTTGCACGCATTAGGTCTGGCCAGCTAATAAAGCCACAGTGCCAGGCACTGTGCTAAGCACTTCATGTGCCCTGACCCATTAGGATGTGATGTTAATGAGGCCAAACTTGTGGGCTTGAAAGGTTATTACCTTTTCACAGGAAGCAAGAGTTAAGAATCCTTGAAAAACACATCCATCTTCTTTGACAGGGTCTTGCTATGTAGTTCAAGCTGTCCTTGAACTTACTATGTAGTCCAGGCTGGCCTTGAACATATTATGTCGATCCTCCTGCCTCAGCCTCCCAAGTAATAGGATTACAGGCATACACCATCATGCCCATCTCAATCTTATTTATTAACAACGTAGGAATTCATTTATAAAATTTCATTCATCCCATAATTACTAAGCACCAAACACGGTGTTGAAGAGTTACAGACACAGTGGCAACAAGCCCAGTATAGTCCCTGCTGATAACCTACTGCTTAGCCAATGACTTTTTTGCTTAGTTTTATTTTAATTAATAATCACCATAACCAGCAAAACCATTTTAGGTATCTAGAGAAAAAGCTAATATCTTCCCTAGCAGCACCAGCTCAATTCCCACAATGTTAATTAACTTAGTAGACATATCTTTCCAAACCTTCTCTATGCTCACATAAATACACATTTACACATGGAGTTTTATTTTTTACTTCTTTTCATAAAAACAATCATACTAGACACATGTCTACATCAAAAGACATAAAGACCATTTCAATTATTTCACCATACTCTTTACTAAGAATGTATAAAATATATTCTACATTCCCCCTGTGGTAGACATTCAGGCAGGTTTAAATTTTTTTTCTTATTACCAACACTTCTACAATTCCTCCATATTAACCTTCACTGCTTTTACTTCTTTCTTTCCTTTTTTTAGAGGCAGGGTCTCCCTTTGCAGTTCAGGCTGCCCCTGAACTCACTCTGTAGCTCAGGCTGGCCTCAAACTTGCAGCGATCCTCCTGCCTCAGCCTCCCGTGTGCTGGGATTACAGGCGCTCGCCACTGCGTCCAGCTCAGTGCTTTTATTTCTTGAGATAGATCCCCCAAGGTAGGAGTCACTGTTAGATGTTAATTCATGAGGCACTGCCTTATACTTTCACAAAATTATTACAGCAGCTCACCCTTCTCTCAGCAACATAAGACTGCTTCCTCCTGTGCTTATGAGCCTCTGATATTACCACTGTATTCAGGTTTCCCAAAGCTATTTGCAAATATAAGTGAAAAATCCTTTTTTTAAAAATAAACTCTGCCTGAGGATTATATTTCTGGATTATTTTTCATTTTTCTTGTCAATTTTGGGAATCCTTTTTATACATTTTTTGTCCATCATGTGCTAACTACTGCTTCATTCCTAAATAGTATTAATACTTTTTTTTTTTGGTTTTGGTTAAGATTACTTCCAGATATTTTTATTGTTTTACCTGTTCTGTTTAAATCTCTAACTTCCTGTTTAACAGAAGAGCTCTGTTTCTATCAATCTTCCTTTCTCTATCAGTCTCATACATCCGGTTCTCAGTATACTCAGATCTATTTCTGGACTCTATCCTATTCCAGTCATCTGTTTGAGTTTTATAGTGATTTGCTTTATCTGAAAACATGCTCCTTCCATTTATTTTCTCTTCCCAGTGTTCTTCTTCCCGAACTTTGAAATCATCTTATGCAGTGCTGGGACCGTGAGCCCAGGTACAGTGCAGAGCACTGTGAAGGCATCATTCTGCCCAGCCGATCCGGTGCTGTCCGTGTCCCCCAAGACACTTCAGCTTTCAGAATACGGGTTCTGAATATTTCTTGCGGAGTTCATTTCAAAACAGTTTATAATCTCTGTAGGAGTGACAGTTTTTCCATTCCTAGTTAAAATTTACTGTCATTTGCCTACATTTCCTGTGTCTTATTTATCCTGGATGTCTTCTGACAAATTAAGGCAGCATTGTATAGTTACTTTTGAATTTACCTTCCAAGTGCGCTCTTAACTTTCCCTTCCTCCTCCTTCCAATTTCCAACACACACAGAGACACACAAGTGTGCACACAGGCCCTAACATACAGTATCTCATCTCAGCAGTAAAAGCATGTGTCTGACATACCGTTTCCTTTTGAAAGGTGACTTTGGCATATCGGCCACAGGGATCATCTGCTCTCCGGGACGCACCCACATGATGGGGCCATCATCACTATCTTTGCGACTCTCCAATTTGAGACTGGAGAGCGTCCCCCATGGCAGTGTACACTAGAGAGAAGTGATTACACAGAAACCTGTTATTTCAAAATGTATCTTCAAATATACATTAGAGATTATTGGTCTGCTCACAAACACTCGATCACATACAACTTACAAATGTGAAATATATACTACATTGAATATATCCCCATATATTCATGTTTACCTTCAAAAAGTTCTATTTCAAACATATCAAGAGAATAATTACTCTTGGATGGTTCCCTCCCTCCCTGCCAGAAGTTTGACTCACTGCATTCATCATGTTATTCTTCCTTCTGTCCAACATATGGGTCATGTGATTTTAATAAGCTGACAAAATAAATGCTCTCCATAATAATCTATAAAAATTAACAATGAAGGGTCAGGGATTTAGTTCAGTGGCACTGCACCTGCCTTGCAAGCAGAAAGGCCTTGGGTTCAATCCCTGGTACCAAAAAAAAAAAATAATAACAATGAAAGTTTTTTGTTGTTTTTGGGGGGTTTTTTGGTTTTTTTGTTTTGTTTTGTTGTTTTTGAGACAAGTCTCCCTATGCATTTCAGACTGGCCCTAAACTCACAGTGATCCTCCTGCCTCAGCCTCCCAAGGGCTAAGATTATAGGTGTGTGCCACCACACCTAGCCCAACGATGAAATTTGAATTTTTGGGGGGGATCGAACTTGGGTCCTTGAAGTGCTTGCGCAGCAGGTGGTGAAACTGCTGAGCTAAATCCCCTGCCCTGAAATTTGAATTTAAAAAATGGAGCAGAGGGGCTGGGAGTTTAGCTCAGTGGCACCACGCCTGCCTGGCAAGCGCAAGGTCCTGAGTTCAATCCCAGGTACCCCCCCAAAAAAGGAGCAGAATGTGGTAGCATATGCCTACAATCCCAGCACTAGGGAGGCTGAGGCAGGAGGGTCCCAAGTTCGAGGCTAGTCTGAATCTCAGTGAAACCCTGTCTCAGAAACAAACAAACAAAAACCAAACAAATAAAACCCAGATACCTCTTTGGTTAGTAATCAAATATTAACAAAATAGGGCTGGGGATTTAGCTCAGTGGTTCCACCGCCTGCCTCTCAAGCACAAGGTCCCAAGTTCGATCCCCGGTACCAAAAAAGAAAAAAAACAAAACAAAAAGGGAAACCAAATCAAAATCCAAGTCTATTTCTGTTTAATTCTGTCTTGAAGAGGTTGTTGGTCTAAACCAAAGACTAAAATATTTTTAAGAGAAAAGAAAATGGGGTGGGGAGTAGGAAAGAGGGCAAGAGGAAAAAAAAGAAAAGAAATGTATTTCCAAAGGCCACTGTGTATAAAATGATGAGAATGATATTAAAAAAATTATATCCTCTTCTAAAAGAGGGAAGGACTATCAAATTTCTCTAAAAAAGAATGGATTTAGTTCACTTGTCTTGTTTTGTTTGTTTCTGGCACCGGGGATTGAACTCAGGACCTTGCTCTTTCGAGGCAGGCAGCAGAACCACTGAGCTAAATCCCTGACAGTTCATTTGTTTTGAAATTAAATTTGAAGCAACCATTTAAATAATATTCTGAAATATTTAAAAAATATTATTCAATAATAAATGCAAATCCCATGATATAACTAGTCGGAAGAAACAGAAAAGGGATAAAAGGAAAAAGAAAGAAATACAATAGGGTGAAAGAGGTATAGAAAATCAAGCGCGCAAACGTATCACACGATGAGCACGACAGGGGAGCTGGTCTCCCACAGGGCGCCCGCTTCCCGAGGCCTCACCCACGAGCTTCGCCGCGCTGCCCTGTGCATTACCCACCGCACAGCCACAGGCGAGTCGCGGCGGGGAGCCCCAGCGCTCCACAGAAAGAAATTTCTTGGACGCAGAGGCTGTTTTACAAAGAAGTAATCAGAGGGCCGGGGATTTAGCTCAGTGGTTCCACCTCCTGCCTCGCAAGAGCAAGGACCCCAGTTCGATCCCTGGCACCCAAAAAAAAAAAAAAGGAATCAGGCTAGAAATTCTTTAAGGAATTTAGCGGGACACTGTGCTACATGGCCTAAATGTCTTATTTTATAGAGGAAGAAATGGAAGCCTTGAAAGGTGAAATAAGGGTTTGCTTAACCCACAAAGGTACGGCCAATGCTAAACCACGTACAGTTTTCCACAATGCAAAACTTCCATTCTTTTGTCTTAAACATTTTAGTTTTGCAGGCACTCGTCCCGTCCTTAAATCCTTTGACACTTAGTCTGAAAAGAGCAGATAAACAGATGGAAGGAACCGTGTTTTCCAAAGAGACAGTGGCAGGAAATGTTACTTTCTGCCTCACCACTGCACTGTACGAAGCCGAAGTCTCAGCAACGCGCTCTGCAGGACTGCTTCCCGTCTTCCTCGCCCTCCCTTCAATTTAAATAAGACCAGCGTGCTTATACCTCTGAAAAAGCCACTCACTGTAACACCTACAGCATGAACTGACACCCACAATTCAGGAGGCTGAGATTATCTCCTCTTACTTTTAAAAACGGTGACTCTTCCAACATGTCGAGGAACTCAGGGAAGTAATCGCCCACTTCTTCATCAACTGCTCCCACCAAGCTTATTTGTCGCATTGGGCCAGCTCTATAAGTACCGTGTGAATATGTTCTTTTTACCTGAAGAATATGAATTTAATTAAAAGTTACTCATAGGATAATGTTTGCTATTGTTGTGTAACAATAAATTACAGGGTGTCAGAATATTAGCACATAATAGGAGCCAAAACAAAACAAAAGCCTTTACTAACAATAACAAATAAGGCATTTAAAAAAAAACCCTGCCCTAAATCCAGCTATTTTCCTTCTGTTTTTATGCATTGCTTAGGAAAACACAGCTCAGCTGGGGATTTAGCTCAGTGGCACCACACCTGCTTCGCAAGCCCAAGGTCCTGAGTTGGATCCCCAGAACCAGAAAAAGAAAGAAAACACAGCTCAAATAAAAACATTCAATTCTACACAAATGACATCTCCGTATAATATAGTTTATTTTATGATCTCTAATGGCACTGAAATTATATTAAAAAACGGGTATGCCTGCATTTTTTTTCTTTCTTTTTTTGCAGTATTGGGGATTGAACTCAGGACCTTGCACTTGCAAGGCAGGTGCTGCCTGCATTTTTATAAAGCACTGGTTCATATCTTTTTATGAGAAGCTTTAAGTTACCCTCTGAAAAAGTAACCAATACTGTTGGTTTTATGCTTAAATGGCCAGTAAGGATGTTCTTCCTTCCTCAATCTTAATAATTAGGAGATACACAGTTATAGCTGTATTAACTCTGATGAGGAACTGCTCAGTCCCACATCTACCTTTGCTGTTTACCAGCGATGTGACTTTCAGAAACCATTTAAATTCCTTTTGTTTCCTTTACTGGAATGTTCTACCTCAAATTGCTAAAGAAAACAATGATTACATAAAGCCATAAGCCATAGTGGTATCACAGAGGTGACATTCAAAGAGCCAAAATAATGCAGCCTAAACCTCCAGATTCATTGGTACCTGAATTTTGGCATCTAGACTTTGGCATCTACCCACTAAATTCAGAAGATCAACTTGTTCTAGTTTGCCAGAATTAACCCTGTTTGAGAACTGAAAGCCTTGCATCCCAGGCGAACCTGCATGGCCAGCTAACTTCTATTCCTACTACAGACATTTTCCAGTGTTCTCTGTCACAGGTGGTAGTGTCAACTCGAACATGCAACAGAGTAGCTAACCCCCAACATTACAATAAAAAACCTACTGGGATAATTTCATTAAGACATTAGAGAATTTTCTCTTTTATCATAATTGACACAGCAGTGTAACACATTAATTTCAAATCAATACGTTTATTTATCAAATTACAAACTTAGGGCCAGGGATTTAGCTCAGTGGTTTCGCCGCCTGCTGCGCAAGCGCAAGGGCCAGAGTTTGATCCCCAGTACCAAAAAAAAAAAGTTACAAACTTAACTTCAGAAGCCATCACAAATTCACTTCTCAGAACCACTAACCAAGCCCCAAGTCACAAACGCTGGGTCTGCATCCCCATCTTGTACTCCTGGTCTCCTCTTTTCCTATCTCCTGGAACGTCTTCATCTCCAATACCGCCGAGCTGATGTCCAAGAACTGACTCTGACACCCTCAGGCCCTACATGTTCATATGCTCGACAGCACCGCGAGGAGAAAGCCGGTCACTGCACGCGCCTGCGCAATCCAGTCTGTCCGCGCTGAGCACCAATCCGACTCCAGCGAATTTAGAGAAGGCAGCACGTCAAGTGGGTTACCAGCACCGAGTTTGTGGCCTCGCTCTTGGATCCACATGTCACCATGTAGAGTTCTGAGAAGCTCAGCGGCCAAGAGGGGGATATCTGGGGTTGGGAGTATAGCTCAGTGCAACAGCACTTGCCTAGTGTGAAAGAGGCCCTAGGTTTGATAACACCAAAACATTTTTTTTTAATTTTTTAAAAAGTTAAATCAAACAACTTTATTGTAACTCAAAATTTCCAAGTGTTTTGAAATGCAAAGGTAGCTTAGGAATGTAATACAACTACGTATCAACTTCCTCATCTAAATAAATCAAATATTTCATCTAAGTCACTAGGTTCTAATGAAAAAAGAATCAAATAGCTGGGGATTTAGCTCCATGGTGCCACATCTACCTTACAAGTGTATGGTCCTGAGTTCGATCCCTGGCACCAAAAAAAAAAAAAAAAGAGTCAAATAAATTCTTGCCACCCGGGTGGTTCATTTTACTACATCACAGTATCAACAACGATTACAATTAATCTCAGCACTTGGGAGCTGAGGCAGGAGCACTGCTGTAAGTCTGAGGCCGGCCTGGGCTACATGAGTTCAAGGCCAGACTGAACTACACAGCAAGACCCTGTCTCAAAAAACAAAACAAAACAAAACAAAACAGATTACAATTGTCTGACATGTTTTATATGTTCTTTGGCCTATTCTGGTTTTCTATCTGTATATATAATTTATAAGATTTTTAGATTTCAAAAACTGAATCTGATGCTATAAAAAGGGGTGGAGGCAAAGGGGCGGGAAGAAAGGCATTAAAATGTGGTGTGCACCTGTACCAATTCCCTACAATGAATGTAATCATGCACTGCCAACATATACTAATAAAAGTCAAAAAATAAATGTTACAGCTTGTGTCTAGATGTCCCCCACAAGCCTCATGTAGTCAGTCATAGGTGGGGCTTTTCAGAGATGGCTGGATCTGGAGTACGTGGGTGCTGGGATCAAGGGAGGGTGATGACTAAATCAGTCCACTGACTGGTTTGGCACAGTTCTGGGTAGGATTAAGGGTGTGAGTGGTACGCCCACCCTCCGGCAGGTAGCCTGCATAAAATATAAGGGACAGAAAGAGGGCTGGGGTGCTCTCACCTGCCTGCCTACCATGGACTGTTTCTCCTCTGGGATGACCCCGTGCCATACCACACTGCCTTGGAGCCAGCTGACTAGGGCCTGAAATCTCTACAAACTGTGAGCCAAATAAATCTTTCCTCCTTTAACTTTAGGTGTCAGGTATTTTGACTCAGCAACGAGAAAAGTAACTAAGACAATAAATAAATACAGATCTAAGTATGAAAAAAAGCCCCAATGGTCTATTAAATAATGTGGGCAGTTTATCATGAGGAGGAGGAAAGATAGCCTTTATGAGAGGAATTTTCAGTGAGTGAATTCTTCCAAAACACTAAATCAACAGGGCTCCATTTTACAAGCTCTCCCAAAGAAATGGATACACTAAACACTTTTAAAGCAAAACTAAATGGACTGTTGTTCAATAGATTTTTCCAAAGGAGTACATGCAAGACTTAAATACATGTCTACAGAAACAGTACCAATAAAGAAAAAATGCTCTTTAATATGAAAGTTGGCAGACTTTGGGGCCCAGACAATCATCTGAGGAAACCTTAAGTCTCAAGTTAGACTACAGTCAATATACCTAGTATGTAAAATACTACACATAAAATAACTCACTTCTCAAATAATTGGAACACCTGCCTTCTACCCTATTGTCAGATCATTTAGATAACTACTTCCACTCTGAAAAAAAAGATACCATTACTAAACTAGAAAAAAGTAGCAGACAAACACAATTAGTAGTCAGAAAACCAAGACTAATTATTAACAAACTTTACAGTCAGCACTCCAGAGTTAAATATCCTAGTTTAAATATGAGTGAGAACAGGTATGAGTACCGCTTCTTGGGCAGCAGTGGTACAAATGATATAATGCTCTGCCATAACCCAAATACTTCACTTCCATTTGACCTGATGTTACTATTACAAGTTAGAATGACTGTTTCACTGACTAAAACGTGCATTACTGACCCAGCCATCTCATTTCATACAAATTATACATCTGTACTAATTTACCCTCAGGTTTACAAATATTTTTTTTTAAATGTATGTCTAAATGAGTACAGACATGAACATTAAAAACTTTAACAACAGAATGAATAAATTAGAACTTAGCTTTTCTCCTATTCTATGTTTAGTTTGGGACCACTTAAGAGACTGACTTTTGAGGATTTTTTAAAAGTGTGGTCCCCTTAAAATGCATAAATATTTCAAAAGATTTTGAGGAAAGCCTAAATTTTACAAGTAATACATACTGTACATAGATTATATTCTTAAATTTCCTAAATGAATCTAGATGATTAATTCTTCCTACTTCAAGGCAAAATACACACAGATTATATATATAAATTCACTTACACACATACAGGTCTCTCTCCCTTTTAATCAAAATGTACTAAAACTATAAAGTAGATCATATTTACCCACTATAAAAACCAAGGGTAAATTTTATTAGGAAATACAGTAAATCCTATTAAGAAATTCCATGAGGAAAAACTGTATACTCTTAGCTATCATGTAAAAAACAAAACAGCAATTTTCTTCCCAAGATATTTTTCTCCAATTTTTTTTTTTTGGACCGGAGATCAAACTCAGGACCTTGTGCTTTCGAGGCAGCCACCAGAACCACTAACCTAAATCCCCAGCACCTTTTTCTCCAAATATTAAAGATAATATTATAATAACCCAATTACATACATTTCAATTTAAAACTAAATTTTAAAAATAAAACTGAAGACATCAAAGTGTTAACTTGCGAAGTAATTTGAATTTCAAAATGTTGTAACATGGGCCAGGCATTTAGCTCGGTGGCACTGCATCTGCCTCACAAGCGCAAGGGTCCTGAGTTCAATCTGCAGTACCAAAAAAATAAATAAAATAAAATGCTGTAACACAACTTTAAAATATATACCATTTCACAAAATCAGCAGGAACCATTCATTTAACATTTTATACATGGCAGACTGCACATAACAATGCAATCACACTCAAAAAGTATGTACCTCTTTATTAAATATATAGCTGGAACCTGAGCTGTTAAAATACAAAGATAAAAATCCATGCATTTTTCACAAAAAACAGAAATGCTTCCCGATCTTGGTAACCCCTGTTTTACTGCAACACTACATAACAAATATGCACAGTTCACCTATTACATAGAATAAATTTAACACACAATATATGAAAACAAAGCCTCCACTCTCTCCAGCATTTGTGACTAGGAAGGACTCGAAGGCAGAGGGCAGCAGGAGAGAAGAGATCAA